TTTCTGTACCTGGTTCGACATTTTTACGATGATGGCGACCACACGAGAAACGGAGAAATAGATTATACGCATGCGCATACAAAGTTAGGAAACAAACCGCCAAAACTTCCGCCTGGGTATTACAAGGCGGCTCTACGTTTTGCAAATGCGGAACTATATTGAAAAACGTAACACGGATATGTAATTAAGATGCCTGCTGTAACAAACAGTCAAATGACAGCAACAGGGAAAATGTTTCCCAAATTTTAGAACAGGCATTTGTACAATTATCTATGGAGTCTTGGTCTTGCTTGTTTAGTTTAAAATCAGTGTCAAAAATATCCGCGAAACCAGGATCATATACAATATATACATCCCTGTTAACAATTGTTACTACGGGTAATCTTGCGCTTTCTGATAATGTCAATTAACCATTTTTCTGTACACGTTGTAAAATAAACGCTTTGTATGAGCGTCAATGCTTTGTCAATTTACGTCTTCTGTAAAAATTTGTCATATTGTTTGTATTTATATAACAAATGAAAATTAAAAAAAAGACAGAGACAATGGATATAAAAAAATAAGTAGCATCAATTACATTTATTTTTCAACACCCTTTACATGTATTTTATTGTTTACAGCTAATACATACATATTTGCTTATTTAATCATTACTATTTTCTACCAGAACATAGCTGTTAAAAAAAGATAAAATCTCAGCATCATAACTCAAGTTGCTACTTTATTTACCACTCACTTTACTAGTTTACTTTTAATTTTAAGTATGTTATAGTTAATTGATATGCAAATACTTTAGGATAGGAAGATATGAAAAGGGTTTCAATGTGGCATTCAATGATATACACTTTTCCCTTGGGTCAGTTTAAGGTTGTTTTGGGGGGGGAGTGGGGGCTGTGAGGAGGGCGGCGGATTCAAAACAATTTTATGTGTATTTGTAAATTTTTATTCATATCTGAATATGTTCGGGGCTCTTTATCTTAGCATATCTCTTACTCACAAATTCCATTCTTGCAACAAGGTCTTATTAATCTCTAGATTCATCGTAAATGTAATAATGCCAGTATGTAAATGACTGAATTTTTATAAGCCCTTAATTATGTTTCAAATACTGTATCATATTATAATGATGAATGACAATATCAGAAAGTGCTATAAGTTCTTGCAGCGGACAGCATCTACAAAGAAAAATATCCATATAAAAAGAAAGGCATGCTCAAGGTTTACGTAAACTATGTGTACAAAGATCAAAGATCAACAAGAGAGTAAGACGTTCATGGAACGCAGACATGACATCATTTAGTCACATGTGCACGACTACCGGAAAGAGTGTCTGTTTAGTAAGTGATAAATTATATCTGTCTGACGCGACACTACCGCGCAACATATTTAATTAATACTGACTAAAAACATTAACTTACATAGTGGTTAAAATTACATTTTGAATCTTAACAGAATGCATAAAAAGGATAGTGCCTGTTTAATAAATGAAACGAACCAACTAATTGAAAAATGGAACGGTCCCATTGAACAAAATATGATTTGAACACCAAATGATTTGTAAATTCATAGGAGAATATCTGTCATGTAAATGATTCATGAATTTGTACATGAATTTTTTAATTTAATTTCTTATTGTTTGTCTATTTCCCATTTTGGAAATTGTTAGCAGCTGTAAATTAGAATATATAAATTTCGTGTCAACACTTTCAAAACATAATAAAGACTGCATACGTACTTTATTAACACAAAAGTTCACATGAACCATATTTAGGGTAAAAAGAATTAATTGTTAAAATCACGGAGATAATTTTGTATGTATATCTGTGCTAAAATATTTGTTGTGTAAATTTTCAACAGTTAACTCCTTGTTGTTTTTTTCAGAAGATGTATATGTGTACAACTAATGTGATAGGCACTGTTATCCAATATTTCTGTGATAGTGATACTAGGTTTATTTTAAAAAGGGCATACTTTTATAAATATATTTCCTTTTTCAACCAAAATCTTGACCAAAGTTAGTTAGATTAGTTTTATTTGCTATGTTTTTTAGGGGTGGTGGAAGGGTTGTAATCATGTATTTTTTTTATTTCTAAGGACCCCATTGGAAATAAGCTTTTAGCTTAATGGGCTATCCATAGGTGCATAGTACCTTTTATTATTTTTTATGACAAAAGTGTGCTCTTTTATGCTGTTTTTATGATCTCATTTTATATATATGATTTATATGTTATCTCTTAACTGTATGATTTTATACTTTGTATCATGTGCTATGTTCCTAAAATGTATAAATAAATAAATAAATTAATAAATAAATAAATAAATAAATAAATAAATAAATAAATAAATAAATAAATAAATAAATAAATAAATTTATAAATAAATAAATAATTTTCGAGTTTTCCATCAATGTTAAATGTTCTGAAATTTCAATATTTTGCCTTACATTTTATCAAAGAACTTGATACTAGGACGGACTCTACATTCAGTGACATACGTGTAAATACATACATGTACGTATTTCTTTTATACACCGAGCGCGGCAGGATGAATCCAGAATCTTCATTTTTTTTGACAGCCTGATTTTGCTGTCCAACTCAGCAGTTTGCAACATTGAATCTCATACAGAAAAAAATACGGTTCCGTTGTTCGTTGTGTACTAGTTTTAACATTAAAACTTCAAACCCATTGGGCACCTTGGTTCACTGTGTATGCCAAGTGTATGCCAATGCTTACTTCACAAGTCAATGACTGAAATTTCTAAACGTGTATAGTTGTGTACTTAATGCAAAAATATTGTACACTTATTTGAATTTATTAACACTATTTATCACACACCCGTGCCGATTTTGCGACTCCGTAAATATGGTATTGCACGGCCGTGCATATATTTTGACGTGACGTCATTAGCGTTATATATACAAACATAGTGTAAAGACGCGCTAAATGTTAGTTTAAACAATATTTTATTTATAAACCACACATTTACATAATAAATTACATAAAATAAACTTTACGGATTGAGTAGGAAGCTTGAAAAGCTTTTTTGAAAACTCTCTCCGTAATCAGTATTTAACAAATTTCAAAAAATGGTAACAAAATATAAATATCTAAACTAAACTATACATATCATATCGACTTGTTCTTGCTTTCTTACTATACATACTATGTTTATGTCAAGTATTCATGAACTAATTTTAAGATACATTGCTGTTAGATTAGAGGTATAAGCACGAGTATGAATTCATTTTTAAAGGGATATATTGCTTAGTTTAGTGATTGGTTAATTAAACTAATATGTTGAGAAATTTAATTATTAAAACATGTACATTGGAGGAGAAGTAATAATAGAAGAGAAGAAGAGATAAGGAACAAGAGAAAGAAAGTCACTTTACTACTATGGAGTTGGAGGACCTTTTTCTTTTCAAACGAATATTATTATGTATCAAATCTTTTTGTTTTTTGTATGTATTTATGTATATGTGATATAATTGTTTCGTTTTGAGCACCGGTAAGTGAATTATCGCCGTACAGTAAATTATTCAATGTAACAGTTGTGATTTGACTTAAATTGTTTATAAGGATAGTGCGGTCATCTTGATACATGGGGCAGCGGAGGAAATAGTGTTCTGTATTTTCTATTTCACCACATATACAAAAAGGGCTATCTATTATGTTTTTTGAAAACATATGTTCGTTTAGAGAGCTGCAATGTGTTCTTAATCGTGTATGTAATATTTGACATTTTCTTTCACCTACATAGTCATGAGGTGGGACCTTTGGAAGATCTTTATTTAGACTTTTTTAGAAAATTTCAAGCAATGGTGAGATCGTTCCAGTCTTTAATCGAAGATGGTAAAAATCAATTAGAGTAGAATTGGGGTTTGACAGAAAATATTTCTAGTGTTACTTGCATTTCGTAAATTGTATATTGATGTTTATCCTACTGTGTTTGGAACTATGGAAGATAAATATTGTGGAGATAGGTGATTGAACATTTTATATAGCAGAATAAGTTTGTGTTTATAGCGTCTTACTTTTAGGGGTTGAAAACATGTGTCTTCATACAGATTTGAGAAAGAAACAAGTTTCGTTGTACCAGTTATAATTCTGCAGGCTTCAAGTTAAATGTTATCGTTATACTTAAGGCGCGTCAATGAAAATTGACTCTTATTTCACTTTAAACGGTCTTTATTTTGGGTGTGCGATAAATAGAATATTAAATTCGTATAAGTTCATTACTGAATTTATTGCACTCGTTGAATAAAATAATATTATGCTCGCCAGAAGCTCGCAAAATATCATTTTTATTCAACTCGTGCAATAAATTCTGTATTGAACTTACAATCATTCAATATCCTCTATATATGAAACAACTCATCCTTTATATCAGGCTGGTGTTTTAACATTAAATCTAAATAAATACTGTGAATTAAATAACTGTAAGCCCCAGCTAAATTACACACATTCTCATGTGCATTCTATCTATTGATATTTTTCCTGTATAATCCATCAGGTAAAATTTTATATATTTGTTATCATATTTGAGTACTATTAGGATTGTTTAGTGGATTTCAAATATCTTTCATGATCGACGGAAAAGTTTTCCTTCAAGGTTAAAGGCAACCCGGCTCTGACGGTGTTCAACCACGAAACCATGGCAAGGCATACTTTAAGTATAGAATCAAACGTATTTCAAGGCCACAACCCACTTCAGCACTGTATTTCTACCTGAGATCCAAAAAATATTTGGTCCCAGCTAGGTTCTATACTGAATGTAACACAGTTACTACTATGCAATAAAGATTTACGTCATTTTAACATCATGTCAGAAACTTTAATGCGATATATTAAAACTCAGATGTGAAAAGAAAAATCGAAGGTATCATCAACCATGTCAACGATATATGGTTTCAAATTTAGAATTACTTCGCTTTTTGATTGCGATTTTTCAGATTTCCAAAGATAGTGTTTTAAATCCATTGTGTTTCTCACAGTAAGGAGTTCTTTATACACCGGACAAAAAATTTTGGAAAAGAAGGTATACGTCCACAATTAATTTTTCAAGCATATTTTATACATCTTTATACTAAATGTATTTCAATTAAACGATATACGTTAAGACGCTGTTAAACAATATTTCTTAATGTATATATTGATGTAAACCGGTTTGGTATGAGCATTTGTATTAACATGCATAGTGTCCGGATAGTAAAAAGTTTTAGATACATTAAGTACTGACAGTTTAAATTTAAATATGGCCACTGATAGTGATAAGGTGGCATTAGCCTGTTAGCATGAAGTAAGCATACATGCATCACAAAGCAACGCCATTTCTATAGTACTAGTTAGATTCATAAAGCAGACTATAAATTAAGCTTTAAACTTTCATCATAATTTAAAAGGATTAAGATATGTTTAAACTAAATTATTCGACTAAGTTCTATGAAATTCTGATCTTAACAAGTGCATATATTTTATTAGATGAATTCCTCAGAGCTATGTACAGAAAGTACCGGAAAACCGCGTTTACTTTAGCTAGGTTTTCGAACTTGTGAATAACTGACAAGTGTGTACATCAGTATGAATTAGTAACGATTCGCCACACTAACAATTCGCCACATAACGATTCGCCACAGAGTAATAACGATTCGCCACAGTTAAATAACGATTCGCCACAGTATGATTATAAAAATGATTTTTTTAGTAATCAACAGACTATTTCCTTTTGTTTTAATAATTTGACAATGACAATAATTTAATAATGTTTCTTAATACAAGTAATATGAAGTTAAGGCCCCCATTGAGGAATTTCAATTTATCAAAGTAACATTATTACAGGAGTACATTTACAAGAAAGTAATTATATGTTGAAAAAAAAATAGAATATATATTTATAAAAATACATATTTCATAAATTATATATAAGTCAAATATTTTTTTAAAAAAGGTATTGCAAAACATGTGTTTTGAAAATTGATTTACGATAATTGATTAAAGAACGCATATCTAAAACATTTGTCACACCTTTAATCTAAGCAAGTCAATCACCTTAGGATTGTTGTAGAAATATTTAATTGACGCCGAAATAATCCTTTATTTAGCTGACAACGTGAGCAGATTTCAAAACAATGCGGTAATTAAGCTTATGTTTGTTAACAAATTAATTTGAGTGATATATGCCGATTTAGAGGGTTTAAAAACACCATCTTGCACAACTTAAAATCATACACAAAATAGTATACAAACGAAAAATAACGAAAACAAAATCATGCCTGCTCCTCCTTGTTCATTCTGTTTAAGACGTATCTACAGTAACTCACGTGCTGTAACATGTGACAAGTGTCAAAGATGGCATCATATAAAATGTGGAAACACAGGTATGATTAATTTTAAGATGAAATATTACATACTATATTAAAAAAGTTATTGCGAAAATGAACAATGTCAAAATGTTTAATGGTTTTTTTTTGTTCTTTTTTTTTTTTTTTAAATTTACTAAGCTTCATACATATTAAATAGATAAAATAATATAACTAATAAAAAAATGTGCTTTGTTAATATAACTAATAAAAAATGTGCTTTGTTAAAACATTATTTTTTTATTGTTGCAGGTATTTCTCAGCAAGACTACGATGCAGCCGTAGAGGGTAATATTGATCTGCATTTTATATGCGCAATTTGCCGTTTTGATGACGAGTCAATGGAGGTAGAACCGATGGAAGTCGACAACTGTGAAGATGTGACAATGATCTATTGTGATCTGGAAGTGCCAGAACCAGTCTGTAACTCTAGTGTCTCCACGATAGAAGAAATTAGTGATTACGTTCGCGCCGACAACACCAGTACATTTGACGTGCCAGGGACCGTTAGAGATATTGAACCTGACAATATAGAGACTGATATTCCCGATGACACTGTGGTGGGGGTACCATCAGCATCAGAAGTGATTTACAAAGTAATAGAGAAGGGTACTGAACGAGGGAAACCGAAATTGGTGACATCGGATGGGTATTCGTTTGTAATCAATAGAACATTCAATTCAGGCGTTGTAGAGTGGCGGTGTAGTGTTAGAAGAAAGGACTTAAAGTGTAGCGCAAACGTAACAGATTCACTACAAGACGCCAATCAACCAGAAGCCTCTCGAACCTCAGATCAGGCACTTTACCAGATGTGCAGTCGCGCACGTTCGTGTCTCCGACCAAAAGACCCAACAACTCTTGATTTTGAGGTATAAATCATACATATTTTAATCTTAATGTAAAACATATAAGTATAAAAAAACAAAAATATAAAGAGTTTATATAAATTAAAGCAATCACAAATAAAATATTTTTTTATACATTTATATACATGTATATATAAACGTGAATACGAATATTATTATTGTTATAATTTAAATTATAATATTTTATATTTTTCAGATTGACGAGGAATACCTTGGTCGAACAATAGAAGAACCTTTCTACCGGGAAACAGTTACGGTGAAGGACCGAAAACATATTATCCTGTCTACAGACGTACAGCTCAGCCTTCTCTCCAGAGCGAAGTCATGGTACATCGACGGTACATTCAAAGTGGTGAAGACTCCCTTCACTCAACTTTTGTCTGTTCACGCTTTCATCAAGTCCGGGGAAAACATGAAGCAGGTCCCTTTATGTTTTGTACTAATGTCTGGGAAAAAATGGCGTGACTATAAAAAGGTAATGAAATATTAATAATTAATGTTTACTTGAGTTGTAAATAAAATGATGACATTCAGCAAACTGTATTTCTTGCAAAAAAAAAAAATAACATCTCTATCTTCATTTTGTTGATTTTTTTCCTACATTATTCTGTTTGATACAAACTATAAACTACAGTTATTACTGGTTATTTTTTCAGGTCTTCCGAGCGATCAGCAATCTAACACCTGGGCGATGCGTTGAAACATTCGTTGTTGATTTTGAAGCAGGAATGTGGCAGGGGCTAAGAGACGTGTTTGAGGATCCCCACATTAAAGGCTGTGCGTTTCATTTCTGACAGGCCCTCTTCCGTAAAGTACAAGAACTTGGTCTACAGGTATCTATATTACGCTACTTGCTATAATAATTTATAGAATGAATCACGTTTATAAGAAAATTATGTTTGTAAAATAAATAAATTTTACTAGTTATTAATTGTTCCATGTCTATAAAAGTCAGTCTCTCATATATCTTATATATACAGGAATCATAATAATTTATCTGTATTTTTTTTTATTTACAGACAGCTTACAGTGAACAGAATGATGTTTATCAACTTTTGAGGAAGACGTTTTCCCTCCCACTTCTGCCAGCAGACGACATTAGACCAGCTTTCCAGTATCTGAAGTCGAAGAGTTCAACCCCAGAAACAGACGCCTACATCAACTACATCGAGAATACCTGGATCAACAACGTCATTTGGCCTGTGGAATCGTGGTGTCAGTTTGGACGATCTGTGAGAACCAATAACGACTGTGAAGGCTGGCATAACAAACTGAACAGAAGACCAGGAAAGGGAACGTTTTGATATCCCTTCTATATAAGGAAGCAGCAGATGTGAAAATTCAGACGAAGTTGGTGAAAGAGAAAAAACTTAAACGATATCAAACCAAGCAGACAAAGAAGATTCAAGGACGACTGTGGGCCCTTTGGGAACAGTACAGATTAAGAACAATTACCACCAGCGCTTTGCTTGATGCTTGTGCAGCCCTGTATGGTCCCGCATAAACAACGGTGTATAAGAGTTCCCTCAGAACTGGACACTACTATTTTTCTGTTAACAAAGTGTTATGTTAATATGTAATAATAAAAAAGCTATTTCTTGTATATTTTTTCTGGCTATAGAATTGCATTTTGTAATTTTGGTAATAAAATATGTTTTTATGTGCTTCTATTCAATAGCTGTTTATAGTATTCTTTTCCAGGTTTAGGTTTTAAAAAATGTAAATTTTGTAATAAAACATGTTAGTTATATAAATAACTTATCTACAATGTGTAATGTAATTTTGGTAATAAAAAATATATATATGATTATGTGTCTTTATTCAATAAAAGCTGTTTTCGTATAATTATCCAGATAATTAAATAACGAAGTTTTTCTCATCGGCAATGTGTGATGTAATTTTGGTAATAAAATATATTTTCATGTATTTTTATTCTATAAAAGTTGTTATTATATTTTTCCAGTTTATATAAATAACGAAGTTATAAAATGTGTTATGTAGTTTTGTTAATAAAATATATCTATTTTCATGTATTTTTATTCTATAAAAGGTGTTAGTATATTTTTTCCAGTTTATATAAATAACGAAGTTATGAATTGTGTTATGTAATTTTGTTAATAAAATATTTGGTTTTCGTGTCTTTTTATTCAATAAAAGCTGTATTTAGTGTAATTAATTTATGTAATTAACAAATGAAATATAAAGCAGCAAAAAGTTTTCCATCAACAGTTTGAAAACAGGTGTGAAAAATTTTGTACTTGAACACGTGGCGAATCGTTATTTAACTGTGGCGAATCGTTATTACTCTGTGTCGAATCGTTATGTGGCGAATCGTTAGTGTGGCGAATCGTTACATTACCATCAGTATGATGGCATTGATCAATGTTATTTTCATGTTTGCTAAAAGAATTAATCTATACAATTTGACAGTTGACATTGTGACATATTTCATAAGTTTGAATTTATTAAAAACAACATAATTTTAACTTGAATAACATAGTTAGGGCTTATGTACATTTGATGACAACTTGATTTTTGATTGATGCTTCAGAAAGTTCACTTTGAATATTGGCTAAAATGCAGTCTAATATGAATTTAGACTCAAATAATAGTAAAAGATTGAAAGAATGTTATCACTGGGGAAATAGATTTGTAAGGTAGATATACATTGTATGCAATATAGCAATATTTTAGTATTTAATGTTCTGATTTAAAAACCCAATTAATTAATTAATGTAAAGTACATGTAGTTTACAGTATTATTAAAAACATTAAGATTTATTTGTTATTTGGTTAAATGTTACTCTTAATAGTTTCAGGAACAAGGAATATTACACCCCAAAGTACTAAAAATTATTACTCATTTGGACAAACAGTATGAGATTATTGCGGGGATCCTTGATTAAGACAGAGCTGTTGATAAGACTGTTCCTAATCATATTTTTCTTGTAAGTATTTTATTTTATCTAGCATTGCTTCAAGAAAACATGGTCATAACTATATATAACAAAATATTCTTGAGGAACAATCTTAATTCAAATACCCAAATAGTATTAATAAAGACAACTATCAAATAACATTCTGGCTATTTTTCTCATTTAACCTTACCTTTAGCCTACTGGCAGCAGCTGAAATCTATCCATGTTACCAATGCAGTTTGATCATGGTCTGCATTGTTTGCTATTCGGTCAGTACCAGGACTCGACATTAACGGTTGTCCGACTGCCCGGGACAACTAAAAGTTTGGTCCGGGCAAGTTATTTTGAAAAGAACTTGTCCGACAGGGCAAGTGAAAATAAAAAGCATCATTAACAAAATGCATGTACAAAATAAATAGAAAAAACATCTTTTCATTTAGATCTATAAACATCTGTAAAACAAAAATACACCATGAATCATTATCAATAATGTGAATACACTACTGTCATGTACATTAAAATTTTGTTGATATAGGAAATGGAAGCAAAAATATGTGCATGCGCCGCGGTAAGGTAATTCCCCGTTCTAATAATAGACTATATTTAATTTTGTACAAGGTAATTCCCGGATCATGCTGTCGTTTTAATTTTGATGCGTGCATGTAAAGATATCATTGAAAATATGTAAATAATCGTATTGATCTTTAGATATAATTGTTAAATAAAGATTTGCATTAAAAATGATTTATTGTTTTATCTAATATAACGACATTATGAACGTAGTCGTTGTTATTAGCCTGGATGATGATTGATGAACTGATGTTTTAGATTAACTACTGAATACAAAAATATTTGTGTCTAACTAACAATCAATTTCATAAACAATATGTCTACTTTATTGCCTTATGTTAACATGACCTTATACAAGAAGTAATAATGTATGAGCTTGATTGTCTTTTCTGATTGATACATTTTTACCATTTTTAGGTCAGGACAAGTTAGTCTTAGGTCAGGGCAAGTAGTTTTAAAAACTACTTGCCCTACAGGACAACCTGATTCAAAAGTTAATGTCAAGGCCTGAGTTCATTGTTACATTAGTAAAACAAAAACAAATGTTTTTTTTACCATTAATAGTAAAAATATACAACTTCTGAAACATATACTGTAGCATTGCTGAAAAATGTTGAATGTGTTGATACCTTCTCAAGGATAAATAAAAAAAAATTAATAAATCTTTAACATGCTAAATATCTTCAATGGACTTGCTCAACTTTTAATATGGACAAAACCATTCATCTTTGTTTTTGAGGAAATTTCTACAACTTCCTTGCACTGGGTCACAATTTTAACACCTGTCTTTGATAAAAACAAACTTGACTTAACATGTTTTACAGTTACACAGACAAGTATCCTGGTTTTGTGAGAAAGATCCAGAGAGAAGAGTTCTGGCTGTACAACTTCCCACGCACACACAGTTACTATCCTAGTGAATATCTATGGGTGAGACATAGAAACAGCTTTTTTTGTTAAAAAATTATTTCAAATTTGATAACCGACTTCTTTCATGAACTCTTATACAGTTGACTCTCAATAAGTCAAAATCGCTTTTCTCAAAATTCCGCCTTAGTCGAATAATTTCTAAAGTCCCGTCAAATTTCCTTCTTTATCTTTGTATTTTAAGTCCGCTTAGGTCAAATTTTGACTTACTGAGACTCCTGTTTAGTCGAAAAGAAAATTTGGTCCCGCCAATTAAAGTCCACATACTTTCATCTCAGTTAGTCGAAGTGTGAAAACAGCCGACTGATCAAAGGTCGGCGACATCAAGGTGAGATGTTGTCACTCGTGATTTACACGTTTCATAGTAATTTTTAATTGCCGGTCATCATGTATTATTAACACGTCGTAAAAGTGTCTTTAATCCGTTTCACGACTTAATTGGTTTTAACAGTTAGATAACTAAATTAAAATTTAATTACATTTCTTTAAAAAAGTTTACTCGTGCCAGTCTGACGGGTGTTAGTCAAATAACAGCCTAGTCAAATAACAGCCTAGGTATTGATGTGTATTATCAACGTAAATGATATTTGTATAATTAATGTTCCGTCATATTGCATACATTAATTTGTACTTCCGGTTCACGATAGTTGCTAATTTCGTTTTCGTCCGATGATCAATTAAATCAAATATAATTGTGTGTTTATGTTTCACTATTAATATACATGTATTAAATTTTGAATGATATATTTTTGTTCATTTATAATTTGTAGTTGAAAGTGATTTACCGTCATTTCAATGGTTAAATATTGCAGCATTGCCGCTAACAACAATAAGAAACCTACTTCTTTGCACATTCAATCAGGTACATGTATATACATGTACGAAGTCAACATAATGGCGGTAGTTCCACGTTACTCGAATTCCGTTTCTCTCGAAGTAAAATACCTAGTCCCTTGGATTTCGAGTTACCGAGAGTCAACTGTACTTAGTCTGAGTTCAATTCCAACAAACTTAAAAAAAAAATGTGTTGCAGACTTTATTATTTAGAAAAATAATATTAAAAGTATGAGACTTGATCAAATTAGTTATTAAAAATTTGGTTTAAATAAGAGCGAAAAAAAGTCACATACACCATATATAACTCTGGTGACTGTTTTATACCATGTGACCAATGAAGACCAAGATCAGATGGCATATGCTTTGTTTGGTATTTAGTCAGTACATATGAGCCGTGCCACGACAAAACCAACATAGTGCGTTTGCGACCAGCATGGATCCGCGCAGTCTGATCAGGATCCATGCTGTTCGCTTACAAACCCTATAACAAGTAGAGAAACTGATAGCGAACAGCATGGATCCTGATCAGACTTCGCGGATGCGCAGGCTGGTCTGGATCCATGATGGTCGCAAACCCATTATGTTGGTTTTGTCGTGACGGGGCTCATATTATTTTGAAATTTTCCTTAAAAATGAGGAATGGTCTTGTTCAGATTAAAAAATGGACAAGTCCATTTAAGATTTTTAGTTGGATAAAGGTAAATTGGCTCTAACTTGGATTAAAAATCAGTGGTAAGTGATTTAATTTTTTTTCATCTGGACAAATAGCCATTGGCATAATCACTGATCAAATATAGATACATGTTTATATAATTTATAATGACAGAAGCCATCAAAAGTAGATCATCAGAAGTAACAAAATTTAAAAAAGGTAGAATATGAGAGTGAAAATTGTAAGAATTGTATTTTAAATATACACTGTACACAATTGTCACTGAATATTAACTAAACATTATGATTGTTGGAATACCACACTCAAAAAAACGACTTTTTTTGTCATGAAGAATATGTTGAGTTTTGTTTTGATATAATTATTTTAATTGAGAATGATTTTTGTCCATATCTGTAATATGTAGCAGTACAAAAGAAGTTACATAAATTATGTGTATTTGTTCTTATTTATTTCCAGCTAACATTGTTTTTTGCGCCATTAGTTTCTGTGTGGATAGTTTATCATTTTACCAAAGATAAAGTCGATGCGGTCCAGTCAATACTTGGTATGTACACTACACATACACAATAAACACCTAGAATGTGTAAACATTTGTTTAAAAAATGTTCTTATATGTTTCCGATCAGTTCCTATGTACAGTTGTATGTATTCATATTTTGTCATGTAACTAAATTTATTTACAAATAGTTTTAGACGAGAGTTTAGATACATCTTTCTTAAGATGAGAGTTTAAGGGGCATCCATGGCCGAGGTTAAGGTTGTTGACTTTAAACCACTTGGCCCTCACCGCTGTGGGTTCCAGTCCCAAGAGGAACTTTGGATTCTTTCATGTAAGGAAGTTATCCTGCTAGTTTGTGGAATGTTAGTGGTACTACTCTGGTGCCTGAGAGTTTACATGTGTGCATATCTTTCAACTCTATTCTACTTAATGTAAATAAATTGGTGTTATTTATTTTATTTTCCTTAAATTCCTTTACTTAAGATGCAAACAGTTATACCTAATACTCAGGGTTTCAACTGGTGCGGGAAGGTCCTGGAATTTTAAAATGTTGGTTCCCAGCCTTGAAATGTCATTAAATTCCACTAAAATGGAGAATGGTCCTGGAAAAAACCAGAATGTTCAGTACCAGTTATGATGAGCCCCTTTTTCATTTGTTCACATAGAAGGCTTGAATGATCCAAAAGACATATATCCTGGGACATTCTGTACTGGTATGGAATTCCAGCATCTTAATGGTTATTATGCACAATGGAGTTGAGCTAAAAAAAATAGCATGATACAGTTAAATTTTAATAGTGTAATGGAAATAAAATGTGTTGCAAATATCTATTGAAAAGGTCCTTGAAAGTCCTGGAAAAGTCCTTGAATTTTATCCTAAGAAAAGTGTGGAAACCCTAAATACTGAATTGGATAAATACTTTGTATATCAACCAAAATATTGCATATCGACCAAAGATTTTATGCCAACCAAAATATGTAAAGATATATGTTGGAGGTACTGTATAAGTTTTCAAATTAAACAGAATATTAAATAAAGTAAATTGTTACATGTTTTCAGGTTCTTGTCTGTCAATATTCCTGGCAGGAAGTATAACCAATGTTGTAAAGATAGGAGTTGGAAGGTAATTATGATACATATCAACAGATAGTAACCACCAATGTTAACCAGGTAGACTACATGTACATGTATATTACAGTTTAAATCACAAGATGTGATTTTTAGATGATTTAGCTTTATTTTAGTTCATTGTAACATGAAACATGTATGGTAAGATTAAAAAAAAGTTTTACCTTGAAAAGTTTAAAAAGAGTATTAAAGGGGCTTTTTATGAGTATTTTCAAGGAACGAGTGTTGTTGTCTACTTCTAAGACTGAAGTTTATTGTTCCTCCACACTTTTAAATACCCCTTTCTGGTCCTTTTTATAGGCATGAGTGCATAACTTTGGCTTATAAGTTAACAAAGTTATATATTTCTCTTCCAAGACCAATTCTTATTTTACATGTTTTAAGTCAAGATCTGAGAGAAATCAAGCAGGCTTTTTTGTGTTCTGCTAGTACTTTTTGTTGGTCTTGCAGACTTATTTAGACAACCCCATTTTACCTGTGTTAAAGTCCACCCTGTAAATAAAGGCCACTTTTTGTACATACTGAATTGTTTAGGCTTGTTTGAAATGGTACAGTGATTTGGTTTATTGACTGTGAAAGTGATTTTTAGCTTGTCTGTTTCGAAGAAAACTCAAGCTATTATGATTGCTCTGTTGTAGTCGTTGTTGTCGTTATTGTGCAAAATCATCATTGTACATGTAGTCCATTACTCAATAGTTTTAAAGGTATCTATATGATACTTGGAATGCTTGCTTATCATGACAAAGTGTAGTTGTTAGACAAGGGGCATAATTCTAAAACTTTAAGTTTTGAATTATGCCACTCTTTTAACTAAGAAATTTTGTTTAAGTAGTTATTTTAACAGATGAGCATAAACATTTAAGTAGTTATTTTAACAGATGAGCATAAACATTTAAGTAGTTATTTTAACAGATGAGCATAAACATTTAAGTAGTTATTTTAACAGATGAGCATAAACATTTAAGTAGTTATTTTAACAGATGAGCATAAACACAACATGCAGTACTCTTTTTTTGTAATAATTTATATTGTCGATGTTTGACATTTTTTCTCAGACTTCATTCAGCACTTAAAGACTGCTCGAGTCAGCATATTTTATATGTTATCATATTTAATACAATTTATTGTCCAAAAACTGCCATTTTTTCAGTGATGTTTGATTTTGTTTATTTCTAGACCTAGACCAGATTTTCTAGCCCGGTGTTTTCCTGATGGTGATATTGATGATTCTATGGTATGTAAAGGAAATGAGAAAGATGTGATAGACGGATATAAAAGTTTCCCAAGTGGACATTCAGCATGTAAGTATGCTCTTTGTAATTCAGGGCTTTTTACACAAGAAAGAGAAGGGAATCTTCCCTTAAAGTAAAGCAAAAATAGCTAGTTACTTTTGAAAAGTGGGGGTAAAAAAAAACTTGACAAAATGCCTTGACAAGTTTGATTGACACATAGAAAAACACAGATACAGCTCTAGCATGATGGATGTAATCTTGTATATCCTGTAGTGTTGAGTCACAAAGTTTCACTGTTATTCTCTATTGTAACTTTGAAAGGGCACAATTTGTATTAATTTTACTTGCATGTGTTGTTATAACGCTAATGTGTTATAATTGTAACTTCAAATATTGTGACAGTGAATTTAAAACAAGAAAACAATGTTATGCTCGATATAACAGCAAAATTTGAAGTAAAATTTCTGTGTTGCTTCAAAATGGATGATAACAAGAATGGTGTTTCGATTAGCATATTAATCATAGTTTTGACAATAAAATTATGATAACATTATTTCCTGAGCCTTAAATTCTTCTCATCATTTACTACCATTGCAAATTGCAATATGAATTTGTCATACATGTATAACTGCTCAGAGGTAACTTTTATACAATTTAACAAGAGTTTTCTCCCTTTTACCAAATCCCATCATTATTTTATTTCTTTTTCAGTATGTTTTTCTTGCCTAGGATTTATAGCATTTTACCTAGCTGGTAAACTACATATATTTAATCCGACTGGTCGAGGACATGCATGGCGTTTGATGTGTTTTATATTCCTGTTGCTATGGGCAACAATGATAGCTGTATCTAGGACAGCTGATTATCATCATCATTGGCAAGGTAAACAATTTACACATTGTGAGAAAATAATTTGTAATTATTTACTAAGAATGTGGATAAGTCTCAAAGACAAGACCAGGAAGTTCTGGGAATATGACATTAGTTAGTTGAAAAAAAAGGATCTTTTAGATCTTTCATGGCTGCATGATTAAAGGGACTCCACTGAGGTTTTTTTTACATGACAGGACTGGGAATAATTTTCTGACATAAATTTTCAATTTGATGTAGATCTTTGCCAATAACTTGTGTGGAAAATTTTAGATCTATCTATCAATCTGTTTTTCAAGAATAATTATTGTTATTGTGAAAAATGATCCAAAATCCATCTTTTGGATGTCTTTCTATTTTAAGTACACCAGGACTGGTGATCTATGTATGAAATTTAAATTTTGTGTTTTATGCTTTTAAACCTCAGTGGAGTTCCTTTAAGATTTGGTTAAATATTATTTGGTCTACATCAGTAATCTGACACTGTGGATTTTGGCATAATTATGACCCCTGTTTTTGACTCAAAAGTTTTCAAAGACCTGTTCCTATTGTTATGCAAGTACTTTAATGGTATTCGAGAATGCTTCCTTAAAATTGTCCCGTATTTGTTATATTTTTCAGATGTCACAGTAGGCAGTATATTAGGGTTGAGTATATCTTACCTTGTGTACCGTATGTATTACCCCTCGTTACAAAAACAGAACTGTCATCTACCATACGTGTCAATATCACCGACCGACACACAGATTTCATATAGTGACCATCGTACTGACGCGCCACGTACCCCGTTATCACCTACGCACACCACAGATATAGAACAGCTTATGAAAGTAGTCTAATGAAATTATCGTTTAGTAAATATATTAAAATTGTATAAAAAAAAATGTTGTGGTGGTCTGGTCAGTATTATCTGTCTGATTTCAATCATAACTAAATTGATGTTAATTGGAACTCGACAAATGCGGGATTTTTCCAAGCTTATAGTCCTGGTACAAACAAACTCTTACCATTACATAGCTTCGTGGAGCACTACCGTTCACATTAGTCAACCTGTTGTGCTAATTTTCGAAGCTGTAACTGTAAAAATTTGTTTGTACCCTAGGATTTGATTGGAAAAACCCGAAATATTCTTAATTCTGCAGTTAGTCTCTTGTTACATTGTTGTTATTGTTGTTGTTTGTTTTAAAGCAGCATACCTCCAGATTCATGCTTATTTAAATGGAAATGTAATATCAAAAAGAAAATGATGTTGTTCAAGTTGTTATTATTGTTTGTTTTAAAGCAGCATACCTCCAGATTCATGCTTATTTTCATGAAAATGTAATAACAAAAAGAAAATGTTGTTGTTCAAGTTGTTATTATTGTTTGTTTTAAAGCAGCATACCTCCAGATTCATGCTTATTTTCATGGAAATGTAATATCAAAAAGAAAATGTTGTTGTTCAAGTTGTTATTATTGTTTGTTTTAAAGCAGCATACCTCCAGATTCATACTTATTTAAATGGAAATGTAATATCAAAAAGAAAATGTTGTTGTTCAAGTTGTTATTATTGTTTGTTTTAAAGCAGCATACCTCCAGATTCATGCTTATTTAAATGGAAATGTAATATCAAAAAGAAAATGTTGTTGTTCAAGTTGTTATTATTGTTTGTTTTAAAGCAGCATACCTCCAGATTCATGCTTATTTAAATGGAAATGTAATATCAAAAAGAAAATGTTGTTGTTCAAGTTGTTATTATTGTTTGTTTTAAAGCAGCATACCTCCAGATTTATACTAATTTTCATGAAAATTTTGAAAATATAAAATTATAAAGAAATGTGTTGTCAGGTGAACCAAGAAAGAAATTTACAAATTGCAAATGGCAATTTCAGCCTGTTACCAAATAAAGGTCAAAACATGCAATATAGCCCTTACTGTATTAGTAGGAATGCAGTAGGAATATTATGATAAATAATTCAAAATCAATCATATGTTGCGTGTAAATCATTACTTAAATTGTGAATATCTTTACTTCTTCTTAAAATCTTAGTATATTTTTTTCCAAAGTTATTTTCTTAAAAATTTTTTTGGGTCCTCCTGAGGCGGGAGCCTTTTTTAAAAAATTCCCAAAAGGGGGAAAATATTAATAAAATTTCATTTTTTTGACTTAAAGGAAAAAAAATTGTTTAAGGGGGAAAGTTGATACTGGTAAAAAGCTTATCAAAAGGGAAAAAAAGTTTATGTCTTGTTAAATTATACCCAAAGTACCCCAAAATGAAAAAAATTTGGGAAATTTTTCATAAAAACAGTTTCGGGGAAAAATTAAATAAACCCAATAAGTTGGGAAGGGAAAATTAAATTTTTCAAAAATTTAAAGAAAGGGACACTATTTCATGTATATATGTTGTGCTTCTTTTTCAGTGGGTATGAATTTTTCTTTGTAAGAAATGACCCTTTAAAATTATTCTACCAATTTTTATAGTTTATCAATATACATTTGTATAGTAATACTTTATTTGACATGGAGTGAAGTCTTATCATAACATGTCTTGTATGTGACAGAAATTGTGTAAAAACTTTGGTGCTACACTTCAGATAAACACTTTTTCTTAATATTTCAAATGTTTAAACTACCTCTGAATTCTGCGGCATTTATGTTTTGGTCATTGATTAGTAAGTTAGCCCTTAGCCTGCTAGAATCAACACATTTTACCCATGTGACCAGCACAGACAAAGATTTGCAGGTACATCTGGCCTTGAGGTTATAAAACTTTTTTCTGAATTCTGTCACAAATCCTAGAGATGTCATTGGACCAGTGTACATTCTGTGGCAGTTTCTGACCAATCAAATACCTGAGATCTCAGTTTGAGCTGAGAGAATTTCTTTTTAACCTCGGACCCAGGACTGTTCACTATTCAGCCAGTATTTATAATGAACTTTCTGTAAAAATGATGAATGGTTTTGTCCAGAATTGGGCAAGACCATTTGTTATTTAGCATGGAAAGGATTAAATGTAATGCATACACAATCTACTAGAATAATGAAAAGTAATTTAGCTATACTAAAATTACCCTAAGTGTTATTGGATTGAAAAGAGAAAAAACAGTTGCGTACTGATGATTACTTTTTTATATCTGTTGAAATTACTATTCTTAGTTTGAACTATAATTCATATGCAGCAGACAAACTATTGAATTATTTCAGGAAAAACTTATTCAATATTTTATGTATTATATATAGAGGATATTTGTTTGTTTTGCATGTAAGATTGAAATATATTTCACAGAGTGAATACCAGATGCAATATTTTCACGAGTGGCGTAGCCACGAGTGAAAGTGTTCACAAATGAAATATATTTCAATCTTATATGTAAAAAAACAAAAAACTTTTTATTTCATGCTTTTTAAGTGATTTTAAGTATTTTTATACTGATTTTGCCCCCGTAACATCATGCATTCTCCTTTATGTCGTCATCACATCATGATGTCATATCATCAATTTTTAAATGTAGTTCTGTTAAATTTCTCTAATTTTGTTACATTGATAACATGATGTATGATGACATCATCTTTCTCTTTCTAAAGAAGCAAAATTTATGTATGATGGCATTTACTTCTGCCTGTTATTCCATTTAGTTATGATATAATTCATCCGCATTCAGATATAGTCCGGTTGAAGTGAAAATTATATTTTATAAATTTCACTAGTGGTTTATCAGAATATAATCATCTGATATTTTACAGTAAAACACTGGAAAGCATGAAATCAGTGTCTTTAATTTGGAAATAGAAATAAGATTATGTGAACTTAAAGTGATGTTTTATTCAGTATTTAACATATTTGTAATATATGGCAAGGTTTGTGTTCTAACATTTGTTTGACTGTGTCGATGCAATGCGCATGTCCAGTTTCAGTGACTGCCAAAACTCTTTAAAAACAGGGAGATGGTGCATAATTAGTTTAGTTTAAACAAAAAATATTTCAAACAACTTCACAGTATATATAATCAAATAATTCCATTAATTGATGTACACAATACAGATATAAATTATTGAAAATGGATTGGGTCCAAAAGCTGAGCTTATAAAGGCTTTCTCCTTATAGATTTACAATGCATGAAATAAATTATGGTATGACAGTATATGTGACATTTTTTAAGTTATTAAAGTCAAGATTGTTTTTACATTTAGTTATAATCCAAAGCAAAAATATAAACATTAAGGCAACACATAATTATGATAAGGGTTCAACGAGATGAAATTTATGACATGACTTTAGTCTGACCATTGAATTTTTTTTCATTCCCCTTTTTTAAAAATTTACTTTTACCAACTTAGCCCCGGACACTGGCCCCGAAATTTTTAATGCTTTTTATCCAAATTAAGTGCCCCTTTTTTCCCTTTTACACGTAAAAATTTTTAAAATTTTTTATATTTTTTAAGAAATTTTCCTTGTTTTTAAAATTGGTAAAAGTCCCAAATTTTTATTTCGGGGAAAATTTTCATTTGTAAAAAGGGGGTTCGGGAAATTAAACCATCGGTTACTATTTGGGTATCTGGTTTAAACTTTAAAAGGGAAAGCAATGAGGTTTCTTAAAACATTGATAGAACTGGATTTTTTATTAAAAACATTTTTCATATGGTCGTGTCGGCTTCATTTCAGACAATTTGGTCACTTTGTTTTTTTGTTTTTTTTCGGAATAATCATTTAAATTATGTAAAATGACCTTTAAATGGAAAGTGTTTAGATGATTTTTAACTCAGTTGGACTAAGAATTAAAATAATGACTTTAAATTTCATTGTTAGCATATTTTATTTAATTTTTTTTTTCATATTTTTTATTTTTTCATTGTAAGTGCTCCAGTCGATCTATATTAGATTTTCAATTTTTATGTTTTCCAGACTTCATTAGACCTTTTTTATAATTGTTAGTTACTGTTGATAAAAGTGTTTAATTAATAATTCTGTTGTACACTTTTAAATTTTGCTTTTGCAAAGTTTTGCTCTAGAAAATATTGATACATGTATGTTTAAATTTTCAACTGACTATTTGGCATTAATAATTTTGAAATATATTTCTTGAATTTAGAAACATAACTATATTTTATATGAAAGAAATATCAATTATTGGAGCATTTAACATTTAGGGGTGTCCACGGTTAGCAAAAATTGACAAACGTTTAAAAAATTTGGCGACCCTAATAACCATGTTAAATGTTTAAAAACCGACTGTAGTAATTTAAAAATTGATTAGATTTTCATTTATTTAAATGTTTGTTTTCTTTCATGATAAAGATAAGGCATTTTTATGTTTATATTTTGTTGTATTCAACCAATTTTTGATTACCAATAGTTTGATTATGAAGTAACTATTAGTATTTACTGTTTAGCGGACGTACTGTAACACACAACTGAAATACAAATTTGTTGTTTGTTTGTTTCATTTACACCTTAATTCCCAACAAGTATTTCAGTCATATAGGCAGGTAGTTTCCATAACATTCGTTCCTGGAGAGTTACACCAGTACTAGACTACCTTCCTCTGTGCTAAATTACCAAAGCATCTCCCAGGGAAATACCAATAGAATGTCATATCTTGTTCATAAAAACTATAGTAATGTTTATAATTTATTTTAAAAGGCAGTACTGTGTCTAATCCTAACCTCTTTTATTGAGTTTCCCAACTGGTTTATAGCAAAAAACGACTGTAAACGTTTAAACGTGGCACCCCTATTCAACATGGCGTTTCTTTGACAAGCTATCATAGGATATACAGTACTACTTCTACAGAGCAATAACCTCTGTAGAGCAATAACTTTTTTACAATAAAAGTATTATGTCTTCCCAAAGTAAAAATTCATAGTAAATTTAACCTTTCGAGAGCAACACATCTCCACAACAACCAAAATACATGAGCCGCGCCATGACAAAACCAACATAATGGGTTTGCGACCAGCATGGATCCAGACCAGCCTGCGCATCCGTGCAGTCTGATCAGGATCCATGCTGTTCGCTTACCAACCCTATTACAAGTATAGAAACTGTTAGCGAACAGCATGGATTCTGATCAGACTGCACGGATGCGCAGGCTGGTCTGGATCCATGCTGACGTTGGTTTTGTCGTGACATGGCTTATATGTGTTTGCCCCTGTAGGTTGTTGCTCTGTAGAGGTCACACTGTTTATATTTTACATACATCAATTGTTTACTTACAGTTATTTGTTATGATCAATAAAAATTTTAAAAGCTAGATCTATAGTTTGTTGTTTTATAAACAAACAAAAAAAGTAAATTTTTTATAAACCCTGAACACACC